TATATATATCTGCCTAAAAATAAAATAGGCAATTCACTTGAGAAATCCAATTGAACTAAAGTGGACTGAAAAGATGCTACAGCAATAGAAAAATTTCAAAGCAAAACATAAATATGATTCCTATTAAACTAGCTACCAAATAAAAATTTTAATCATACTTCTGGGAAAGAAATTGCATTTGAACCTGCATATGTAGACATTGACAGTATAAAGTAATACAACTTTTTGAAGAGTAACTTGTCAGTACTGCCAAAACTAAAACCAAACATAACTTGACTAATAGTTCCTCACAAATACTTGCTTACTGTCTTAAGGTGTTCACTAATGCCTTAAATACAATGGCAAAAACTGTATGCAACCTAAATATCTACAAATAGATTAGTTAAATGAACCACATGTACAATTGGAAACTACCAAAGTATTAGAAATAATATGGCCATATTACAACATTCTGATGTGGAAAGATGTCCTAAACCAATAGGAATGAAGTAATGGCATGTGTGCCACAGTGGGCTGTTTGTTATCACCAAACCCTAAAAAAGTTTGTTTGCTATTAATGTCCTAGGCACATTGTTGAGCAAAAGGAAGGTATAGGATAATATGTGACTTCCAATTTTTGTAAAATTAAAAAATCAGAAATACGTGTATAGTTTTATAACACAGAGAAATGTTTATAAAAGCACAGTCAAGCTACTAATAATGTGTTACCCGCACAGAGAGGAACAGAGAGTTAAGGGATATGTGTTGTTTTTGAAGTTTAGATAGTTTCATACTTTTTATAATATGATTATATATAAATTTTTGTAATTTCAAAGATAAAGAAATTAGTTAATATAAGCATTTCCCAGGGTCACCAAAATTTCAATAAGCAGCATTTATGTTAGTTTGGTAGTATATAAAACTTGGGTCACTTATATAACCAATATCTTATGGATTGACATGTCCTTTGTTTCCAACTTGTCACTGTTAGAGCTGCAATGCATGTCTCTGTAGATGCATATTATGTGTATATGAAGGTTATGCATATAAAACATATGCTTTAATATTTCCCTTTTAGTAGAGATGACTTGTACATGTTCAAGACAGCTTAGTTGAAGTCACAAGATAATGCTCAGGGGTACATTCATAGAATGATCATGACTTTGGATTTATTACCTAACTGTAATCCTAAAATTGTAGACCTGATCTAGTACCTTGGGCTATCAGTTACATAATCATTTTGACATCAACTGAATATGAAAGTGTCTTGGGACACATTCAGAAGAGCCAAGAAACATTACATTATATTAGCTTTTGTCCATACATATTTTTTGTCACGTCTTTCTTTGGTTTGCCAATAGATCTTTCTGTTTAGAAGATAATATTCCTCACATCTTCATAAATATGGAAGGCCTCTTAGAAGAAGAGAAGTTCTAATGAGAGAAGCTTCTTTCATGTGGCCATCAATAATAGGTCATAAGGCAAGTTTCCTTCTGCACTTGATCTTAGACAAAAGGCTGATAAATGCTAAGTTTCTTTCTGAAAGGGGGGATTTTAAAGCTGCACTGATTGTGACCTGAGCTGAAAATGGGTGTACATATATCCATTTTATTTTATTTTTTTTTAAATTTTATTT